CATAATCAAGCAATCGATGGTGGTGCCATTTCCATAAACGGAAAGGGCTGCGGTGGTGGTGACCGGGGATAGGGGGGTCAGGCCATCAGAGTGTGGTGCATGCTCCGTTGGCTCATTGGCCAGAGAGGGTAATGTTGGCGCGAGTCAGGTTGGCAAGGCCCTGAAAGACGGTGACGCTGTCCACGGCAAAGCTAATGGTGGGTGGCTGGGCAGAGTTTTCTGCCTGTGCGAGTGCCCAAGATAAGGTGCCCTCAACAGTATTGATGCCTGTTGGCATCACGGGAAAAACCGATCGAGGTCAGCCACCAAGTGTAGAGACGCGGCAAAGCGGCTCGAGGAAAAACAAAAAAAAAAAAAGCATGAGGCACACGAGGGGACAAATTATTTTTGTGCAGTGGTCGCGTCACCAGAACAGGTCTCAAGCGGGTGCGTACCATGGTCTTCGGGTGGGGTGACGAGAAAGAGGTTCGCCTGAACGCGGCTGCTACACACCAGCAGCAGCAGCAACAACAACAAGAACATCACACGAGGAGCACGTAGCGAGGCGCCAAATCTTTGCCGCACGGTTCGTGGGATGAAGTGAAGCGGCGACCTGTCCATTGTGACGGAGCATTGGCCAGAAGGAGCAGGAGTAGCGTGGCGGCAATCAGCTCAAACCACTTGAACAGGTTGTTCCGGGACATGTGGATGAGGGCAAAGGAGCGCTGGTGAGCAACGCTGACGGGGTGGTGTTGGTATTTGAGATAGTATCGGCCCTCCAAGAGGAGGATGACGGCGTGGTCGCGGTAGGCGTCGGCGGCAGCCAAGGGATTGGTGCGTTCAAGTTGGGCAAGGCGTTGCTGCTCGAGATCCACGGCGTGGCGCTGATCGCCGAAAAACTCGCTGAGTGTGTCCATGCCAGGCAGCATACCCGAGGCTTGCCCATCGGCGCTGTCCGCAGAAGCGCCTAGGTTGGAACCATCCCCAGTTGGCGGAAGGAGCGGGGCCTGGTCCTGGTGTGGGTCTGCCACGCTCTCATCAGCAGCTAGCGGCAGAGCTTCGGCCAAATGGGCGCCATCCTCATCCGTTTCAGACGTGGCCAGCAGTCCCTCGGTTGACATGATGCCCGTGCAGTTTGAGCGCACACGTGAGACGTTGAAACGTTGGGTGCGGGGTCTCCTAAGCTGAAGAGCGCAGAGAGGGATGAGGAAAAGGAGGGAGGAGGGAAGAGGGGGAGGAGGGGAAGGAGGGAGGAGGGGGAAAGGGCGGGGGGAAGGTCGAGGAAGAGAATCGAGGTGGCGGAACAGGTGCATGCAAAATAAAAAGCAGGACTACCATCAAGCACATCAAATGGGGGCCGGGGCTATCAATCAGTCCAAGGTCATTCCCCGATCAACATACCCATGGGCATCAGCAGCAACGGTAGCAGTAGCAGTAGCAGCGGTAGCGGTAGCAGTAGCAGTAGCAGTAGCAGCCAGGTGAAGCGACAGGGCTATAGAATGTGCGTCCGCAGCTCTGCCACTGAAAAAAAGGGATCAACCCCCCGTGAGCCAACGAACGCAGCAAGCAAGCACGCTTCTCCGCCCCACACACACGCACACACACACACACACACACACACATGTATAAACGGAAGGCTGAGGGGGT